ATATTTCCTCTTAGAAGGTAAAAAAAAGTGGGTGTTGAAAAATTTATCAGGACCTTGATGTGATATTGATTAGATTACAAACCTCAACACATCAAAAAAATAAGCCCATGTTTGCCTGAAGTTTAGCGGATCTATGTGACACTTCACTGTCTTTTATTCTTGCTCAATTTGTGGATGTCTTTAATGCCACATGTTGGCAGAAAAACTGGGGTTGAGGCGTTGAGATGGCATAGTCAGCAGATAAAGCCTCAAGAGATGACAAATAGAGCAAAAAAAAACAGACTTAACCAAAATGATGGAGCACAAAGTTTTTGGGCCTCAGCACAAGCAGTGCTATTCAGAGTTTTCATACAATGCCTGTATAAAATTAAGTGATAAGAATTCCAGAATCCTCTCCTCTCCTTCCTGCATAACCATGTACATAATCACATGCATGGATCCCAGAGGATGTAAGACATACAAGCAGAAATTGTAAGGTCTCCTCACTATGAATGAAAATACACTTCAAAAAAATTAATACATAAAGCAAAAGAAACTAGAACAAGTATAAACAGGAATAAACAATCTTTATTTATGCACATGATTTTGTAATATGTTTTCTTGACTATGGTTAATGTGCTAGTATAAGTGTTATATCTTGTCAGTTTCTCAGTAATATTTTCACTGCCTGACCACTCAAGCTCTAATGAAATATATCTTCACTGGAAAATATAAGAAGGATTGTAGGATATGACCAGGATTTTAACACTTTCGTTACACACATTGTTAATGAGTTACATTCAAAAGTTAGTTAAGCTACTTTCTTATCTTGGTATATGAATAAATTTAGCATAAAAACATAACTAATAATTCAAATGTTAATAGTATAAAAGCTTTGAGTTCTTAATTTTATAGGGCAATATTAAAAAAAAAATCCTGAATTTCCCCTAGCATAAACATTGTAACATTTTCTCTCTAAACATCCCCTCTTCTCTAATTTATTTTCCACCTGTCCAAGAAGTATAAAATTTAATGTAAATTACTCATTATAATATTGCTGTCATTGCTCAGACAAAACATAATTTTTATACCCTTCAATATTATTTGTTAGAAAGCCATAAACTAGAAAATCAGACCCCACTTGTCATATCCTCTCTTTTAGAAATTGCCAATAGTTTTTCTGATGTTTAATACTATATTATTTATAACCAACAGAAAGGACAAAGTTTTAATCTATCAAATAACGTATTACACTACATTGTCTTCTGTACAGAAATTGTCTATTTCACTTCCAGTTCAAACTTTATTCCCACAATAAATACATCGACGAACTTAGTTGAATTTTTAGTGACTCTTGTCACATAGTTAGAAAGCCAGAAAAATTGTGATAGTTATGGAACATCATTTGCTTTTTGCAAGTTATTATTTTGTGTTTTTTGGTACATTATTTAACGCAAATAAAAAATTGTTCAGTGCAGAAGTACCATTAGTATAAAAAAGTAGGGTTAAATGTCACTGACAGTCGACAGAAAAAAAAAAAAAGACCCAGGTACGTACTTCATTTCTTGTTTTTCATGTCTATTCTTTATTTATTATTATAAAAGTAACTAAAGTGTAAGTATTAGAAACTTTTTACGTTAGATTAGGTAAAATAACTAATAATATTAATAAAAAAATTTCATGGGTACACTTACAAGTAGCTTGTGTGTTAGGTAAATCGACAGGGTAACGTGAGCTACACATTCGTCAAGTGATTTACAACTTATATGGCATGAATATTATGTAATCCTGTCAGTTTTCCTAGAGTATATATGCGGAAAAAGCCATTATAACCACTGGAGAGTTTGTAGCATGATGATCAAAGAAATATGATCAGAAATGAGATTTTTTAGACACAAATACAGCTTAGTTAAGAAGCCTGATAAATGACAGTGAAATTTTGTGGTATCGGTATAGTAATTTATAATTTTTGGGTATTCCAAAATGCATAACTAAAATCTACAAAAATGAATTTTTCTACCTACCCCATGTGTGAAATTCGATGAGGCTATTGTACCCAAGAACAACACATGGGTACAAAAGACTTCATAACATTATAAATAGTAGAGATTGTTTTCTTTATATTTTTCATTTACTGTTCTATCTTTTAAGAAAAATAACTGAAATTTAAGAATTTATTTGTAAATAGTAATAATATATATATATGTATGTATGTGTATATATATATATATATATATATATATATAT